TTAGATACCTTTGAAACAAAAATCTTGTGATAGATGTACAAGGGCACAAAAAATCGTAAGGAAATTTGGCAGAAGATACAACTCTGTACTATACAAAATATACCAGGATCTGACAATCGTACCATTCTTTAAAATAGGACCGCAGAGTTTTATTAGAAAGACTTCAGTCTGGTCTTTTAGTAATTCTAGTATTAATAAAGCAAATTTCTCTCTCAACAATGGCTGCTATGGATGGGGCATGTGGGAAGAATGGAAGAAGGCAAAATACCAAACAAAATAAGCAAAGAAGTACCTGTAGAAAAAATCACCAAAGGAAGACTGAAGCTGAGATAGATAAAACAAATAGAAAATTATATAAAAATCTTAAAAATAAAAAATTGGAAACAAAGCATCAAAGCAGATCAGAATGGAGAAAAGTCTTGGAACAGACAAAGACCCAAAAAGCCAGTTGTCAAGAAAGTTATGATATTATATTCCCATGAGGTACTTGCAACTGATTTTAAGTTCTCAACATCAGATGTGTCTAGAAAGGATAACATTATTAAAAAGAAAGAACATACCTTGAACTGGATTGTTTAATCATTAAATGGGTAATGACGCGGCAGGAATTTTAAACGTTCAAATAAGCTTTGTTGCTAATTATTGTAGTAAAACAAGATTCTACAACATAATGCAAATTATAAAAAATAATCGACAATTGTTTCTTACATTAACATTAACGATTGTTTTTTGTAATTTGCATTACATTGTGGAATCTTTTATTGCAATTATGAACAGACTGCACATAATAGGAAAGGAAGAAAAACAAAATTCAAAAATTAAAATATTTATTTAAAAAATTAACGACACAATTTACAAGTAACAAAATTATTTTAAGAACGTAAACATACTTACTTGGTGGTAAAAATAAAGATGGAATAGCATCTTTTTTAATAGTGGATTTATTTATTAGTCCAATGTATTGTGCATCTGGCCCAAAATGGACATTACATACACGGTATGATTTTCGTACCTTCTCCATTGGCATTTCTTGTAAATTGGGATGGCCAATCCTTTTAATCCAAACATTATACAGCTACAAAAAACATACAAGAATTAGTGTCTAATAGATATAGTATAAAAAAATATATTTAAAGTCCATAACAATAATAGCAATGTAAATCATATTATCTATTACTTCTTTCCTTTTTTTGTTGTATCATCTGTACATACTTCAGTTTCTGGATATTTTTACATTTCGTCCCTACCATTTCCAACTATCGAATGTGAAAAATCGGGTTTTTCAGATTCGATACCTTGCCCTTGCATTAAACGTGATACACCTTGTAGCAAAATATCGAAATTGTAGCTTGATCAGAAACGCGGGAAATATTCTGTCTAAACCATCGAATATGAACATTTTGTCATTTTGTTTTGGTCAAAATATCGAATATGCTACAAACTGACGAAAATGGAATATTCGATATTTTGTTTTGTATAAATATAACTAAAGGCATATATATGTACAATGCAAAATGACGAATGTGTCACATTCATTATCTTCAGTGTTGTGTTTGATACATTTATTCAATTATAATCTGCAAACTGTCGAAAATACTAAACATTGCTGACAAGAACAAAACGCACGTGTTCACAATTTGTGAATTATTGCTTCCAAGAAGTTCTTTCGGTGAGGCACTTTATTATTTTGTTTTTTAATATGTCACATACATTAGTTTCAGAGTTGTAATTGATACAGTTATTCAATTATGCAAAATGTTAAAAATACTAAACATTGCTGACAAGAACAAAACGCATGTATTCACAATAATTGTGTGAACTATTTCTTCCAAGAAGTTCTTTTGGTGAGGAACTTTATTATTTTATTTTTATCGGTTTTTCATTATCTGATTATTCAGTTAACTGAGTATAACTAAACCAAAAACAGTGATGTTGTCAAAGCGAGAATTATTTAAAAAAATATTAAACAATGCTGCCTTTGGGACGTCGTCCACACAGTGTATATGGAACCAGTATCGGAAAAATGAAAATAACAAACTTTACATGAAGACTAGCATTGACGGAAACTTTTTATCTCTTGAAACCATAAAAAAACGAGGCAAACAAAATAGTATAAACTCTGTTAAGGCATACAACGAAAGACTCCCAATCACGGATATGAAGAAAAAAAACCTCTTGTCACTATGTGAACAAAACTTAATACCTAGGCCATACCACCAATATTACCAATCTTTACCAACACCTAATACTGCCAGAGATTGTCTTCCAGAACCTGACGCAACTGAAGACAATGATAACGTTGAATCTAAAATTTAAGACTTTACTTTAATTTATCATTATTTTACTACTGATTACTTGAGGTATCTACAGGACGTGAAGTTCCATAATTGTATTGTGATTATTTTTAACTTTTCTAATTACATTAATTTTCTATCAATACGTACTTTTATAAAAATACTTTTAATAATTTCTTTATACATGATTTTCCCATTTTACCCTATAACTTCAATTTTTAATTAAATTTTTGTAATAAACTTTGTAAGAACATTGAGATTATTTTCATTTTCCTCCTTTTCAATTAAGAATATTAATGTGTTAAAATTAGACCAATATGAACTGTCGAAAATGCCACATTCGCAATTTTGAAACATTGCACCAAATAAATGTGCTAAAATTATACAAATATGAACTGTCGAAAATGCCACATTCGCAATTTTAAACCATTGGACCAAAACAAATCGTTGATTAACACAAAAAGCAAAATAACGAATGTGATTTTGTGGAAAGAAGCAAACGGTAAGCAGTTTTATTCTGATATCAATCTAACAAGGATCAAACATTAATTTTTAAAAATATAAAAAATTTTCCATTTGTCAAAGCGCTGATTTAGAATTCTCTAAAAAAGAGTTATTTTGCTCTCCCTGAAAAGTACCACTTTTCACATTCGATAGTTGGAAATGGTAGGGACGATTTGTTCTAACACTTCTAACACAAGCAAGGTTAAAACATTTTAAGGTTAGAGATACATACTTACGAATATCTTGTTTGTTAATTGTTATTAAAATATTAATGGCAAATCAAAATAAAAGCTATTTTTCATTTTAATATTAAAATAAATATTAATTATGACTTACCTCTTGATTTTTTGGAAAAATATGCATTTGAGCATCTTTTTGGTAATTTTTGCAGCCGGGTACACAGCATTTAAACACCATTTTAAAGATTTATTAAAAAATTTTCAGATAAACTGAATTTTTACTTTAAAGTAAAAGTCTTTGCTATAAACTATAAAGCCAAACTGTGAGTAAAAAAAAAAACACAATCAAATAATATAAATCCAAAGACGTAAACAAACACCGAGTCATAATAGACTAGTGGCACAGTTTGTCAGTGGAGGAGAACTATCGATAGCACTATCGATAGTATTGACTATCGTTTGCTATCGATATTTTTTTTGACAATCTATTGTTTTCGATATTACAGGTTTGTTTTTATTTCGGTGTTTTTGGAAATAAATATTTTCAGTTTCGGACAATTTTGTGCAGTTAATTTCTCTTTCAAAAAAACAAAGTCATCTTTGCAACTAAATAAAAAAAGAAGAGTAAACAGAAGAACAACCTCAATGTCATATCAGAATCATGATATAAGGAAACAAGGTATGCTCACTAGGTGGACTCGTTTTTGCACATTTCTGCGCCGACCAAAATCCACCATCTTTTCAATATGTCACATGCGTGTAGGGATGGTGACCTGATCCCGTACCAGTTACTTTGGAACATGTATTTTATTTATACTTGTGGAACTGATCCCTAAGACCAATATATTATAATAAACGAGTAGGGGTTTCATTGCATTTGTCCTTAATTTTTATCGTGCATTTCTCAACGTTTACAAAGCTTTAGATAAATATCAACAGATGACAATTGGCGTGAAGTAGACAAAACTATCACCATTTTTTTATGAACTTTTTATACAATCTCTGAATAACAGTAATTTAAGTATTTGAAGTTAAACAGTCATTTAAATAACTATAAAGAAATCTAACAAAATACAAATAATGTTGTCGTTATGTTTAGATATCTATTAAACGAATGATAACAAACTGATTTCCAAACCAGTATTTTGCGTATCAGTTTGACCTGATCCACAAAAATAATTGGATCAACCACCTCTACATGCTTGACGTCTGCTTTGTTTTGCATTTTTTAACCTTACTTTATTGGAATTTAGAATTTAAAAGTAAATTTGTTTTGATTTTTTTTAAATTATTTTAGCAAGAGTCTGTTCAGATCATTTTAAATCTGAATTAATTGGATTAATGTAGAATATTAATTTTATTTAATTTAATTTAGCTACGATATTTTTTATCAAATTTGTACATATTTGAATTGCCGCCTTCAAAATGGCGGATTTTGGTCGTAAACGCGATTGGCTGTTCAAAATAGATGCGCGTGAGCATACCATGTTTCCTTATATCATGATCAGAATAGAAGATTTAGTTTCCGTTTCCTGTTTCTGTTCTTGTCTCTGAACCATGATACTATGAATAACAAGATAGGTTCTTCCCGTAGCTCAAAATCGGTCGGATTCGCGCATGCCGTCATTGGAGACTAGAATTTGAATTCTTGTTAAAGTTAAATGAGATTTGTATGCATTCTGTGATGAAATTACTAGACGAAAATAAGTTAAGAGGTTTAATAATTACAATAATCGTACACATAAGGATATCTCCAAACTATTTATTAAAGATTATTTATTGATATATACAAAAACTGACATTTCGAACGTGCAAGTCTCCAATGACGTCACAAAAACATGCGCAATATCTTATCTTATAGTCATAGTATCATGCTCTGAACCAGTCTGTCTTTTGTTATTTACTTCTTTCTTTGTTCGTCGTATGTTCGTTCATTAAAGTTAAGGTTAAAAAAAGTTGTGTGAAAACGTGTTTACAAGTGTTTGTTTGAATTTGTAATACATATATTTGAATTTGATCGATCATGGAAAAATTTGTTATTGCAACAAAGAAACAGAAGGTCACTGAAGAAAAACCTACATCCAGTTGTGAAGGTAAGTTTTTCAAATTTTATAATTTAACAGTATTTCTAAGTATTTTTTTGTTCTTTTAAGATTCTGCAAATGAAAAACTAAATTCAGAAAACAGCGAAAATTCATATGTAGATTCTGGTTTGAAAATAGATCTATCGTCAAGAAAACGGAAAAGGCATTCCAACGTGTGGAATTATTTTAAAAGATCTGCAGATCGAAAATTGGCCAAATGTTTAACCCGTGGAAGGGAGTATAAAACTAGCGGCAATACTGCCAACTTAGCGGATCATATTAAACGGTTTCATCCATTTATGAGTACTGGCCCAGATTGTTCTGCAAGTACAAGTACTACAGAATGTACTAGCTCAGCACGATCAAGTTCTCAGTCAATCAGCCCATTTTTTAAAAGATTACAATATGATTCTTCTTCACAAAGAAAAAAGGATTTGGATCATGCACTGGCACTGATGATTGCTACCGATTTACAACCATTTAATATTGTTAATGACACAGGTTTTAAGAACTTTGTAAATATGCTTGACCCAAAATATGTTCTACCAAGTAAATATACCATTAGAGAAACTATCATGAAAGATATGTATAAAAAGTGTGTTTTAAAACAAAATAACTTTGTCTCTATAACAACTGATTCTTGGACCTCGGTTAGCACAGAATCATATATGGCCATTACATGTCATTATATAGACCAAAATTTCAATCTAAAAAACAGTATACTGGCAGTGCCAAAATTAAAAGAGCACCATACAGCAGAAAATCTGGCAAGTGTTTTGCAACAAACATTTGAAGAATGGGAGATTGCAAAGAAGGTAACATGTATAGTTACTGATAATGCTCCCAATATGATAAAAATGTGTGAATTGTTGCAAAAGCGGCATTTGCCTTGTTTTGCCCATTTAATCAACTTGGTAGTACAAGACAACCTTAAACTCAAATCTGTACAAACTGTCCTTACCAAATGTAAGGAAATTGTGAGGTATTTTAAAAGCAGCACTACAGCCCATGAAATGTTTATGAACCACCAGAAAGAAAATGGTGCAAGTAATTCTGCAGTTAAACTACTTCAGTAAGTATCAACTCGCTGGAATAGCACATTTTATATGCTGGGAAGAATCATTGAAACCCAAGATTCCCTAAATTGTACTCTGTTAAAGCTAAGAAAAGCTCCACCTCCAATAACAGTAGATGAGTTACTAATATTAAGAGAATTACATAAATGTTTGGAATGTTTTGAGGAAGCTACAAAAAAAATCTCTGGTAGCACTTATCCAACAATTTCGTTAATTATTCCATTAACATATGGAATTCATAACCATTTAGCTGATTGTTCAAAAGAAATGACAACAGAAGAGGGAAAACAATTTTGCACTGAACTTAAACATTCAGTTCAAAATAGATTATTTTGTTATGAAAAAAGATCAATTACCAGAATTGCGACGATAATAGATCCTCGTTTTAAAAAGGAAGGGTTTTACAGTCCAGAAAATGCAAACCAAGCCAGTGTATTTTTAGAACAAGAAATATGCCAAATACTGCAAGAAAAGGAAGTTGACAGAAAAAATAATCCTAATGGAGATGGCGAGACTGAATCTGCACCTAAGAAGTCCTTATTTTCATTTATTGGACAAAAAATCAAGCAAAAGTTAAATCGAGAGCGCCCACCAAAGTGGCGTGGCAGTGGCAAGCAGCAAGTAGCACGCGTCTAGCATAATGTAACCAATCCTAACGAATGATTAGAATGAATGACGTTACTGTCATTTTGATGTAAACTGAATCATTCGTTTTCATTGGTTACATTATGCCAGACGCGTGCTACTTGCCGCTGCCACGCCACTTTGGTGGGCGCTCTCCCTAACCTAGCTGATGCTATCATTAATAAAAAGGCAATACCTAGAAACACCCAATTCAAATGAAGACACTGATCCGCTTCTGTTTTGGAAAGTAAGTAAAACAATTAGAAATATATATTATGTTTAACACATTCCCTTCCAGCCATATTTTTATATTATGTGCCTCTACAGGCTACCACATGCGTAGTTTTGTTTGTAATATAGAGCCTTGCCACTTGGTTATGTTGTCAAATTCATGTATAGTTATGAAACTATTCGTCATAAGGATCACTCAGACGAGTGGTGGGTTCTTATATCGGTCTCTAGGTGGAGAAATAAAAGACAAAGTTGATATGCTACTTTATCTATTTTGAAGACGTTTCGCTTTCGAGTTTTGAAAGCATCATCAGTTCATCTTAACGTCTTAATCGAAACGTCTTCAAAATAGATAAAGTAGCCTATCAACTTTGTCTTTTATTTCTCCACCTAGAGACCGATATAAGAACCCACCACTCGTCTGAGTGATCCTTATATATATATTGGATTGATGGTCGTACTCCTTTTTCCGATGCTATATATATATATATATATATATATATATTTGTTCTTTTGGTGTACATTTCAAAATGCTGTTAATAAATAAATAAAAAGGTGTTAGTCCTATGGGATTAACACGTTAGTCCCACGGGACCAAAGTGGTAGGGAATGTGTTAAATTTCTTTGTTTATTTTAGGTAACTGGAGAGGAAGTGAATCCAATGGCCCAGTTGTGCCAAAAATATTTTTGTATACCTGGTACATCGGTAGAATCTGAGAGAACTTTCAGTAGGGCTGGAGCTATTATATCTGACAGAAGATCCCGACTTAAACCAAAAAATGTAGAAATGATGATATTTCTTAATAAAAATGGTCATCTGTTGCAATAAGCAGCAATGGTTACTATTAATTAAAAAGTTTTTATTTTCAATTTTTGTACGTTTGTTTAAATGGTTAAAATAAACATTAAAGTTTGATCTTATTTTATTTCACAGTGATTATGTTTTTCATCTTTTGTGTTATTGTGCCTGTTATTAGCACACTCATCTCTGTACAGGCTTGTGTACTATTGCTTCCTTTATATTTGTCCTGTAATTAAATAAAGGCCACCTGTATTTAAGGCAAATAGATGACAAAGATTTTTTATTATTTGAATATAATTTGATCAACTTTGTTGGATGTTTTGTGTTATTTATTCTCAGAGAACTAATAAATAAGTTTATTCTCACATCCAAATCATTGAATCTTAAAAAGAACATATTTATTGAAGCTTGATATATTAAAAACAGTTTAAGGTATTTAAATATAATGTGTAAGCAATTTTAAAGTTTTTAATAATTATTACAATGATTATAATATAGAATGAAGCAATTTGTGATTTGCTAAGGTTTCTGGAATGGTATCATTAGGTAGTTGAGGACTGGATGTTCACTGTAACTTAATACATTCTGGATAAATTTCATTTTATATACCTATAGTATGCAAAAGTTTTTAACAGCTACTAAAATATGTACTGGATGATGAAGGATGATAGTCATCTATAGGATGACTATTATTAATATGGGTTATAATGGTCTTTAAATGACCAAATTATTAAATTCAATGATCTTATTTTGATTTTTATTTATGGTATTATGCAATACAAAATAAATAAATTGTAGGTTATTTTTAATACAAAAACATTTAATGTCATTTGTCAAAATCCTACTATCGATAATTATCGATAGTGACGTGTCAGACTATCGGTAATTATAGATAGTCATGACTATCGATAGTTCTCCACCTCTATAATAGACAAAATAAAATGGCGTTGTGTTGTTGTTGCGATGACATGCGCATTTGAAGAAAGTTTTTGGTGGCGCCACCTTTCTAGTTTAGTCAAGAATTAAAGAGAATGAACCGTCATTGCCATTAAAGCATCGAGCAATAAGACAAAAGAGGGAATCTAATGCTTATGAAAAGGAGACCAAAAAAGTGGCCTCTGATGGCGGACATATCCGGAAATGCGAATGCGCCAAATTTAAATTTTCCGACACTTATCAACAGTAGCTATATCATATTTTTCAGAATGTGTCTTAGACGAGAAAGTTTTAATTAATTATTAATGATAAGAGTCTAAAATGCGACACAATTGTTAAAAAACTTCAATATAAATAAGATTTCATGTGACATTTGGACAAACAATAACATAACCCAACTAAATTTGATGTCAAACAAGGAGAGAGACTCTCTTTCCTTGTTTAATGTGGCCTCTAAAGATCGCACTTCCTGTCTAACAATATGTTTGCCCCCACTACCTTTACATTCCCTCTATTGTCTTATTGCTCGATGCATTAAAGATAACATGCCATGATTTTGAACACATCGACCCTCTCAACGAAAACTGTCGTAACTTTTTTTTTCAATTTTGAGTTATTACTTTGTTATTACTATAAACAGATTTCATGATACCGAAATAACTCAAATCAAATCGTAATATAGACAACACAATATACATTAATGTAAACGTAGTAGTAAGCGTCTATATTCTTTGGTAGTAGGTATCTCATCTCAATGCTCTCTATACTTTACCGCGAAAAAAGTAGTATTATGGAGTTATAGTACATCCACTAATAATTTTCCAACATAAACATGCCTCATTCTGGTATCAAAGAGACCGCCTTTCAAATCAAGGTTGTCAGACATATTTCCTAAAATTCCTAAGGTTATATTTAAAAAATATTCCCTATTCTCTAACGACACTCTTAAAAAATAATATGAACATATTCTCAAAAAATATATCTATAAATTAATTAACTAGGTACTAATATTCCCATGGACTCTTCACTAATGAATTAAAGCAACCGTGAACTTTGTATATATTACTTATACTCAAGTAATTTTCGAATATCGGCAACATTGTAGTCTGGAGAGAATTTGGACGTTGGGTCTATATCGACGTTGCCATGTTGGTGAATTTAGCGGTAATACTCTTATAGATATAATGATCGACTTTTAAGAAATCAGACAACTTTTAAGAATTCAAGTTCTCAAAAACGGTTTCAAGAATTGTATTATTTTTTTTTCCAAATTTCATTGATCTTGACCTTACCTGGAAACATGAAAAATTGCAGATATATTAATATGGTATTAAAGTTACATTCACTAATTTTAAACTCATGCATTATGGCAACAGCGAACCGCAAAGCCATAAATCGTAATGAACACCTGTTTCGTCTCGCTAAGTGACACCCTAAAATATTTCATTTTGCAACCAGCAATCAGAGGCGGAGGCTTATTATAAGGTAAGTAATATTATATTTTTCTAGGATGGCATTTTGGAAACCATTTGATACGAATGATCAAGATGCATCAACTTCTGTGTTATCAATAAATAATGACAATTATGTTAATGACAGCCCCGAATTAAAAAAATAAAGATTTGCACGTACTATCCCAAAGGATAGTTTTAAATATGTATGAGTGTTTGAAAAAAGAAAATATTGGGATGGCTGATAATGCAATTGTTCGAGAATTCATGTATTAACAAAAATCGGGTATAAGACGATATATACCTACAATTGAGGGGTCCGGCAGTAAAAAATGGTAAGGGACAATAAAGAAGATTTGAGTTTTGAAGTGTTGAATTTAAAAAAAAATATTGTTATATTTTTTATTAAAAAATATAAAACTATGAATAATGCTAAAATTAGCTGATTATGTTGTTAATCAGGAGGCAAAATATGAAATACCAAATATTTTTTTTACAATGTTTATTGAGGAAAATATGAAAATATGTACTACAACTTAACATTATTTACCTAAAATATTTGAAAAATTTAACGTAACATGTTAAGTGGTGTTGACTTAACATAACATAATTTGGTAGGTACTAGGAGGTTATTTTAAATTTATATACCATTCGTGATAAACAGCTGGAATCCATTCCAAGAATGATTTTACATCTTTCAGTTTTTCTGAATGAATACTAAGGGGATGATTATATTTTTGAGTAAGTGTAGGAAATTTTTCTTCTGTAGCTGTTGGTCTTCCTCTTTTATTCAAGGACATGGAATTAAATAATCCGTTGTATGATGCTGAATATTGTATATTTCTGGGAACTTCTGAAGATAGACATAATTTCACACTACTTTGTAAAATACCTACCGGTTGATTAAAATAGCTTTTCAGTACTGAACAATCGTATATATCCTCTTGCTGGACCCT